AAGAACCCCGCGCCCCCATACTGATCTAAAAATGGGCATTTTATCAAGGACGTGTATGTGACTACTGGGTCTTTTGGAGCCTGCCTCAAGTGGACACTCAGGGAACTGTCGTTTTTTGGCACAAAAGCATTGGATTCATTTTTCAACTCCGGAGGTTTCCGTTTTGTTTTATTTCACATTATTCCGATGATCCACAAAACTCAAAATTAGTCTGAAATATAGGAAAAAAGTAGTAAAATATTTGATTTAAGTGGCACATGTTTCTAGTTGGGGAGGGATTCTTTAAAAAGGCTTCACAATGTTACAATTCACTTAGCAGACGCTTTTATCCAAAGTGGCGTACAACACTAATGCATTCATACACCGCCATACAACACTAATGCATTCATACACCGCCACTGAAGCAGCAATAGCAATTCAGGGTTAAGTGTCTTGCCCAAGGACACATCGGACATGTTGCTCAGCTGGGGATTGAACCCTCGACCTTGCGGTTGAGAGGCGACAACTCTGCTCTACCAACTGAGCTACAGCCGCCCTTATATCATAAGTATAATATAAGTAACATGACAACATATTTATCCAGAAAATTGCTCAGGTTTGTTTGGACTTTACTGAAAGTAAAACGTGTCATGAGACAAGAAGCTACCCAGCCATCCATGGTGTAAGCTTGATGATGACTAGATGATGATCTTTCTTTACCCAGAACCACAAATAAGCGACAAACCCAAACGTATCCCTGACAGCAGAGTGGCAGTCTGAGTTTTTCCCAGAAAAAGTTGAATGGATTGGTGGGAGAATAATTGAAAAGGACAGCTGGAACGAGAGGAGAAAGAGTTATCCTCACGGTGATGGAGTCTGTTTTATCCACTTGTCAGGGTCCCTCTTCCTCACAGTACTTCAGAGCCTAAATAAAAAGCTTAAAAAAACATGTTGAAGCTTATTGATTTGTGCCCATGGAACAAAGAGAAAAGTAAGCACACGAAACTGTGCACCCTCACAACACTGAAGAGCCGTCTTTGTTAGTGGTTTGGACGCCATATTGACAGGAACACGTTCGGCTATGTTAGCCCAATAAATTGTTGTTGACAGTGCCCTCTAGAGATGTGCGATGGCGCATTAGCACTGCAGACCTTAACCAAGGAAGCATCCTCTCTGCTCTGCGTCCTGCAGTGAGAGAGAGTCTCCGGCACTGCAGTTACATGCATTCTTAAGACTCTGACTTTTATATTCCTGACACTTCTTCCTTTTCACACTGTTGTCTTTTGAGGACAAGCTTGTTCAACTTATTATTCAGCTGGGTGTTGTCGCACTGCATGACAAAGTTTCTGATAATGAGCAGAGTGTATGGTCCACCGAATCGCTTCCTGCCAGAAAACTGCTTTCCCGGGGTACCTGTAGAGGTAAAAAAGCCTTACTGGGTCACCGCTGCTGAGATCAATACAAGTTTACAGCCTTGATATATTGAGTCGGCTTTGCTGAAAATGGGAAAGCAATGGCTTTATTCAACTGAATTCATATTTTTTTGGAGAATGGATTTGGCATGCTGGTGGCTGTCTTCCTGACTAACTTATTGCCCCGACTTTGAAAGAGAACCCTGAGGACCATTTCACAAAAGGTTTATAGTGCTGCAAACATCATTTCAGAGCAAAAGAGAGCACCGGACCGGGCTAGCCTTGCTAAGGTGATGCTGATTAAAATGACATCGCCTCAAGCTCCTGTCAAAGTTTGGGGAGTCTTGACAATACTTGAACCCTTCTTCAGAAAGGTGACCACGATGACATAAAGTACAAAATGTAACTCCCTTTAAAGTCTTCATTCGTCTCTCATTCCGGCTTCAGTGCTATTAGAATTGGAATTTGTATTAAATGTCATTACTTGAGAATACATTTGTGGGATGAGTTTAATGGAGTGACATTTAAATTATGCCCAACATGTACTTCAAAAGGACTTCCTGATTTGAGTGAAATTACAAACAAAATCATAGTGGGAGTCATTCATTCATGGCCAATTTCCCGCAGTATTAGATCATAAAAGTGTCATTCAAACAAATAAAGTAGTTACTCAATGTTTGCCTGAATCCTGTCTGCCACTTGCTGGACCAAATCTCACTTTATCCACTTTGATAGAGCTGCTCTGTGGCCACATTGTGTCAAATTATGATGCTCTCAAGTACATCTCATGTGTCATGTCTGGTTGTTGCTTGGATATTGTGAGGTCACCCCTTGGTTCCTGCGGAGACATTTTGAAGTGTTGGCTGTTGCCATAGTTGCTATTTCACACTAACTTTCAATGAATCTTTTACGAGACAAAGAGGGTGGAACTGAGATCGGCCTTAAGCCTCCCAGCAAACAGCTACAACCCCTCCTGTCAGTCAACTCAGTAATGCCACATTTATTCACATTTTGCATGCCTTCTTGTACTCAAAATTAATTCTAATCAAAATTGAGGTGTTGCCAAAAAAAAAAAAAACATGTGAAAATAGTCATTTTGATATGGTGCTTAATTTGGAATCCTGCATTCTGCATCTTTGTCCATCACCAGTAGATGCTGCTTGATATAAACCCAACCCTTAATCTTTTTTTACTTGATTCTCTTTTTCTGGTATGGACAATGTAACAGAACTACTTTTCTGTTACGTTAAAGGTTTTATATGCCCGGCGATATAAACAAACTGAAGATAGGACTCGGGAAGCATCACAGACAGTTGGACTCGGGTGTTACACCCATTGTAGACATTCATGACTCACAGAGTTATTTTCAGAGGATATACTTGATTTCTATTACATATAAGTGTGAGAAATCGGATATAAAGCCTTTAAACATTTATTGATAATGGTTGAGTGTCCAGAAGTCATAAAATGCAAAAATGTTTGCGATTAAGAACTGTTAAAAGTCTAACCAAACGTTGCTCATTGACTAAAGACAACTTGACGACTTGAGTTCGACAGTGTAACCTTACGATGCACATGTCCTATTGCTAATCTGACTGCAGATTCCTGCACACACCAAACTGACAATATACAGTTGTACGAAGATAATCACATTTTGAAGCTCAGGTTATCTGAACAAGCTGTCTTATATGGAGAGCATGTTGGCCTTTCAGTCCACTTAAAGGAAGTGTTACAAGCTGTTACTTCATCTTGAGTTCAATCCTCCCTGATACTTGAGTCCACACTTGTCTGTGTGATAGATGACCCTTCACCAGAGAACTGATTGCAGCCAATTTGGAGCAGAAGAGTGCCTTTAACCTGTCTGATCAGGCCCATTACACGGCTACAGATCAAACAAGTCTTTATGCTTTTTAATGTTGTTCAGAAACAATATTTGATACTTTGATACATCGCCCCTGCTTTGAGTTGTACACATGGTCTATTGCTGTCTTCACGTGCTCCTCGGAAATATTGTACTTTCTAGTTTTGCAGTCGTAATGGCGCCATCAACGTATTCATTTGCCTTTGCTCGTGTTTAAATACCAAAAGCAAGTACTATAGAGCTCCATTGTGCTCCTGTAGCAGGATGAAGACCATAGAATGCCCATCAGATATGCAGTTGATGTTTTCATTCATTTCTAAACTTAAAAAACATGAAATACATTTGCTAAGCTAGCTAGCTTTATTGCTAAAATTAGGCTTGCATACTGTGTGTTGTCCCTGTTCCTGTTGGCTCAGTGAATTGTTGACTCCAGCTTTCTGCCGTGTTTCCTGCACTGAAATGTCACCCAAACGTCACAGCTGGGTATCATCAAATGTCCCGACTACCCACTGTATATTACATCTTTGGAGGGCTATTAATGTACTTGTCAAAAAACAGTAAATAATGTGCCGGTTGTGTTTAGTTAAGATAACTACAGTTACTGAGTTCTCCCTAATGTCAGTGTTAGATAGCTGGATGTGTTAGATTGACAGCTGTGTTCTGAGGGGTCATAGGTCAGTATACTCCAAGTGCAGGTTGTCATGTGTGTGATTGGTCAAGCGCTTGAGGAAGAGGAGCGTGTGCTTGTGTGTGTTTTGGCTGTGCAAGTTTTTGTGTGTTAGCGGTAGCTAAGCTGACAAGTACCGTTACTGATAAAGGGATTGTAGATTTATTTGCCGTTGGCTATGGACCACAGTAGCATGTGTAAAATGTGGGATATAAAAACCCAAGTTGGATAACATCTGGTAGCTTCATTTAAGCAGAACACAACAATTTTATATTTCTGAGGTACACTTGAATGCGGCATGTTTAGCCTAAGTCTTTCTGAACACACCTTTATAAGTGCTGTATATGTTTGAGTTCAAGGACGTTTTTCTTTCTAAATTGAGTTGATCCCTTTTCCTCAGATGTGTAAAATCAGGTAAAAAGACAAAAACAAAATCATAATTATAATTCTTATCACGAAACAGGTTGACATGACATTTGCCCTCTGTTCTGATTTGTTTTCCGTTTTCATTTGAGACTGTATAGTATTCTGGAGCATAAGGAGCTTTGAAATCTCCCCCCACCCCCATCCTTCATTTTTTACAAGGAAACAAAAATCCAACAGAAATAAATCGGCTTAATGGACAGAATTAGAGTGGTCTGAATCCAGGGTGGGATTAAGGAAAATTGTGTGAAATAAAAGAGCGAGTGATCAGGAATGACTGTGCGTCTGTCTGGAGGGCGGGAGGAGAGAGAGAGAAAGAGAGAGAGAGGGAGAGGGAGAGAGAGAGAGAGAGAGAGAGGGAGAGGAGCACATTTTCATCCAAAACTCCGTTTTTTTTTCAGAGCCTATCTGTGTTGTGCTCTCTCCGCAGCTCCTATTGTTTAAACTGGCAGGGGAAAAAATAACACTCCGCTTTTTCTTCTTCTCAAATCGCAGCCTGAGAGTCTTTTTTTTTTTTTAAATGTTTCTGTTGTGATCTGATGCACGATTCTCGCCGCTCTGAATGCCGTATTCATTGTCAACTTCTCCGATTTCTCCACTCAGACTTGAGCTGCATCATGAATAGTTTGGGGGCACCTTTCAATCGCATACCTCTGGAATGGCGGGGATTACACAGCCGAGACCCGGAGAGCATGTAAACGCAAATGGAGTTTGGGATTTATTACAAAATATGGGAAAGATGACCGTCTTCTCGTTGTGCTTGCTCTTGTGCGCGGATCTACTGGATTTAGCCGTGGGTAAGTCTGACCCCCTCATCATATCTTTTTCTACGCACACTGACACGCTCTCGCAGCATCTCCTGCTCAATGCGTGGATTCTAACAATAGCCTAAATGTCAAATAAAAGAGTGGTGCATGTGCGACAGCGAGACACTAAATGGTAATTAAACAGGACATCCGGATGGAGGCGAAATGTGGCACGCTCGCCTCATGCCAACTTTCCCCCCCCTCCGTGAAGTCGCGGAGGAGAGAAAGCAAAGAATAATGGTCGGATTGAGTTCAGGCTGCACAATGCGTGATGTCTACGTGCTCAGAGGACATGCAAAAAGATGGGTAGCAGGAGGCCTAGTTATGCACTAAGTCTTAATTCCTCTGCATGAAGAGCAACATGCATGACAGCACCGTTACTTCTGCAACTAAACCACGCCGAAGCGCACAGCTCTGCGTTCTGCTCAAATTGGGGTTTCAGTTCATATCGCGCCTGGACTCAACAGATATTGAAGTTGTCGCCTTGACAGGCATTAAAGTGCGTCTTTCCGTCTATGCAGATGTGTGATTTCACAGCGGTGGCATCGGTGTCGCGTGTTTTCTCTCAATGCTGCGTTGACGTGTTGAGCTGTTGGAGGATGAAAACACCACTCTGATCTGTTGTAATGAATTCCAATTTGAAATTAGATCTACCCTGTAAAAATATTCTGCTGCCTTCTGCAGGATCGTCTTCTCTTGAGTGCTTTAGATTGGGGATGTTTTACTGCAATTTAGAGGAAGACAGTATGACCGAACCTTCGCAACAGATAAGGACCTGGCTGCAGTGATTTAAGCATGTTCCTTTGCTGTGTTGATCTTGCATGCCTTCACTTATGGTCCCTGTTTCAGTTCGTTCTGCAGAGTCGTGCGTTTTTTTCGTCATGGTGTCATACATCAAAAAGCTTGCATTGCATTGTAAGACTGCACTGCAAGCACTTGATTCCCTCACTGAGAAATAGCCTATAGAAAAAGTATGTGCAGCTTCTTTTCATTCTGCCGGAGTTCAGCTCACACTGCCTGCACTGGTGGGAACATTGTGCTTGTTTGAAGGACTTCAGAGGGAGAGCTGACTTCTGGCTGTAACATCAGAGCAGCATGTCTAACAAACTAACCTGTTAACCCGGGCTCTTAGCCCAGGATTCTGTTGTTCTGAAGTGCTTTTGACCTTCCCTGACCCACATAGGAAATCATTATGTCATGTTGTGCTTAACATAATGTTAAGGGATGAAATGCCTCAGGGTCTGCTCCTGCTCAGAGGAAGCCGAGCTGCACACAAGCCCTGCACTGTGTAAAGTATTCCGGACTTCAATAATGCAATCCTGCTCATTTGAGATGTTCACGTTTACTTTGCTTCATTACATTGATTGTACAGTCGAGTGAGATTTTCCACGCAGGCGTTACCATTGATCGGCCATGGTAAACACACAATGATAGGTGGAAGTGAGCAGATCAATGGGCAGTATTGGAGTTGGGCTGCTTGGTTGTTGTTGTCACTACTGTTTCAACAAATAAATCGAAGCTGTGGATACTCGATGCACCTTTATTGTCAGTTTTTTCGTTAGAAGTTGTATTCATTTTAAAACCTGATGTATCACATTGGGCTCCATATAAGATTTCCTTGTGTGTGTGTGTGTGTGTGTGTGTGTGTGTGTGTGTATTAACAAGATCAAGGTTTCCTTACTTCAGTCTGTGCAGCTGTGTCTTAAAGTAGATTTTATCCCCCATAGACGGAGAGAAAGAGCGCCTCTGGTCAGTGATTCAACTCTCATATCATCCTTGAACTTTTATACTTTTATATTTTTCTCTAACAAACTTTTCTGTCAGCAAAAACAAAGAAATGCTAGAAATGATACACAGGGTATTGCATTTTGGGGTAAAAAAAACTCAAGTTACGTGAATATCTTGAAGTAATGTGCATATCTTGTGTTGTCTCAGTCAGCGATATATGTTACATGTTTTTAAAATGTAATGCATCTGTGCCTGCAAGCTAGCCTCAGCTAGTAGAACAGAATTCATGTTTTTGCTGATGTCACACAGTCACAGGCTACATCTCCACTGGCTGGAGTTTCTGCAGGAGTTACATTTATCTCAAATGTTTTATGCATGCACATTTATTTACTACTGTGCATGCACACAGCCGGCCATGAATAAGTGCATCTCCCCAGACATTCAATGTCACATAGTCTTTAGTGTATCACACATTCAAATGATAGGGTTCTGCTTAAGTGGTTACATAGTCTGAAATTGTTCTCCTGCAAGGTGTTGGCACAGTTTCATGTCCATGTTCACAGCATGTAGCTGCGTCTTCCGCCTCCAGTGCTCCTGTTAACATTCTATTGACTTTTGCAACATTAGTGCAGACACCCCATTATAAGAATAGATCTCTCTTAAGGGCTCCTCCTTCAAGTCAACGTGCATACAGGAATCAGATCCAGTCCAAGTTGAGCAGCATTGGCTCCTGAGTTGACAAGATTATCTCGTACTCTGAGCTGCAGACACAACACTGTAAAGAAAAAAAGAACTCCTTCCTGTTGGTTAAATAAATGTTTCACCATTTCTACTTTAGTTGTCAGAGTTTAATGAATGGGTTGACACATAATCCCATACGTCAGGTAAATGTAAAACTAACAGAAAAACAGAAGTCTGCATTATCTTGGCATAGAGACTGGAAGCAGGTAGAACAGTTCTCCTGGCTTTGTCTGCCTGTAACAAAATCTGTCCATATGCACTCTTGGTAATGTCAAGAGACTTTCAGGAGGACAGCCGCGGAAATCCTCCTGATCTGGTTGTTCAAACACATGCACCTCACAGCAGGGGACTATCCCAGTAGGAGGAGAGGAGGGACAGGAGTAGAAGTGGTGGACAAAGCAATAGAGTCCGCTATAGAGCGCTATTATGAGAATATTTTTCTTTATATCAATGTGTAGTTTGATAGACTCACAATATCAAGAGAAGAGCAGAGAAGAACATACTGGAGAAAAGAAAACATAATGCAGCAGTTTAATTTGTGCAGGGGTTGTTCCGGATCGAACAGCGATCGCAGGTAATAAACGTCACCCACGCCTCCCACTCAGTCGATGTGAATTCTCCTGATAATATCCCTGCTGCATCCTTACATCAGCTCACTCAGGCCAGACTTATATCGGGGGGGCTGGCAGGAGAAACTCTGGATAAAGTTCAAGAAAGATTTGGCTCTTTGCGTTTACACTTGCAGCTCACCCTGAAAACGTCAAGAGTTTTCAGTAGTCTTGTGCAAGTGTGAAAGCCCTTTTTATGTGTTTCCAAAGCCCAGTATTCAAAATGACTATTTTTTTGTAAAACAAATTACATGTTTGAAAAGTTGTGGGGTCTTGTGCAAGTGTTTTCAGGAGTCTTGTGCAAGTGTGAAAGCCCTTTTTATGTGTTTCCAAAGCCCAGTATTCAAAATGACTATTTTTTTGTAAAACAAATTACATGTTTGAAAAGTTGTGGGGTCTTGCTTACATCCATTACACATTTCGAAGGTGAAAGAACCACCTCTGGGAATTGACTGGGAAAAGATTAAATTAACCAGAAAACAGTTTGTAACCAATAAATAACTTAGCAGTAACACTCCTAAAAACTACACATTTTGATTGTCTTGACTATGTTTTTTTCCTTAATTGATTAAATCACAAATACATTAATCTTTTGTTAAGCTGTAGTTTTGCTGGTTTTCCTTTCATGATGCCTCAGGCAGAGCCAGATGAGCTGTTTTTTAACTGTTTATATTTCCCAATACTTGGAACCATTGCTTTAATACAGGGGAGCACCATGCAGGTCAAAGCAAGGGTGGAAGTACTTTAACTTTGCTTTAGTGTTTCACATAGAGTAAGATAAACTATGTTCTTCATTGAGCTGGATGTTTTTGCAGTGGTTCAATGCAGCTGTAGATCTTGGATTGTTTTCAAAAATGAGCTACAAAGGATACTTAAAAACAAGTAGTTACAAATGGTGTGTTTTTTGGTAACTAGTTTAAAGTCATTGTGGATGGAACGTTTGGTCTTCTAGGTGGTTTCATATTAGGGACCCGGGCCCAGAAAGTCTGGTCCATTTGATCAGTGTGAACACAAACATACTGTACTCGTACTGTACTCGGGCACCATGCTTGAGTCCGCTTGGAGAGGTGGTCTCAGGCACGATTCATGTGTACTCGAGTACGCTCTGCAGGAGATATGAACGCAACCGTGCTCAAACAAGGAAGTGGGCCACTATATGACGTCATTCTAAAAGGCTTCAGTTGCTTCAAAAACCGCCATATCCATGCAGACCAGCAGGGGAGAGGGGAGGCGGAGCAATCTGGCCTGATGTGAAAACGCCCTAATTCTAAAGTTCCTAAAGTTCCTAAAGTTCTTGCTCCTAAAGTATAGTGAGACGTGTGTGAGGAAGTGATGTATTGGTCCTGCTTCATTTAGAATAACCAATCATGAATTCTGCTCCGAGTTCACTTGCTGCTGTTTAAGACACAGTTTATAGGTCACTGTTAAGTTTTGATTTATGACTTCCTGTAAGGCAGACAATAATGCTCCCAACACCATAGAATTAAATTGGCAAAATAGTGTTTTTCTTTCTTGGGTTCATATAGAAGGACCAGGCTGCTTTTCTGTGCAGGCACTGATGTGATTTTGGTGGATTTTAGGGGTTCAGGTTTTGCCTATAAATGATTTTTTTTTAGACTAGCTCAACCACATATTTTTCTCCTTAACAAATCCTGCTTCAAATTAAAACCCTTAATAAGTTGTAACAAGTTGATATCACTGTCTGTTTTACAACTTCAATTTGGGGAAGAAGAGATTTTCTTCCCAGGAAACGTCAGATATTCTTTAAGAGATTAAGACGTACGGATAGAAGTCTTAAGAAGTTGTATTAAGATTATATTAAATCACAGCTTTTTGATGCTTATTCTCCTGCTAAAGAGACGTTGGCTTCCAATCACATTCATCCTCTGGACAAGATTTTTCTCTCAGATCAGT